AATGGCTTTGACAAGAACAAGGCATCATAACTATCAGGTTTGATAACAAAAGCAAAGATCTGGGTTTGTCTGGGATTCAGTGCTGTTATAGAAAACCTTACACTTACCAATTTGCAGCTGCGTACACTTGCTCAGTGCAACACCTTGAAAACGTATGAAAGCTGAGTTACTTTAATGGAGAGTCAATGCACCACTGGTCAAATTAATTGGAATAGGAAGCAGAAAATCAGTCAAGCAGCAAAAGAAATGGGCTTAATTCGCATCTCTAGAGTGAATTGCTTTGCTCTCTTGCTTTGACCATAGAAGCTTGGTATGTAGAAATCATGCTATAATCAGGTTGCCATACGTTCTTTCAGTACCCTTCAGAAGCTTTGTAATGGCCTGGGGTGGAATGAATTATGAACTGGTCACATGGCAAAGCATGACTGCTTCAGCCCATGGCATTCTCTGCAGAGACACCCATAATGCGTATCCTTGAGAAGTTAATATGCTCATGGTAGTGCTGGAATGCAGAGTGCTTGATCAATCTATTCAGTTCAACACCTATCCATTATGTTGCTAGGAAACATAGCAATGCTAAGCAATTGTTCTAAGGAACGTCTCTTCCCCTATACGCCCTCATGCCCCTTAAAATTACCAGGGGAGGCCTTGTTCTGGGAACCCTCTTTGAAGGAGCTATGGAGGGTATCCACCCGGGGGAGGGCCTTCTCTGCAGTGGTGCCCAGACTATGGAATACACTCCCCAGAGAGGTCCACTTGGCACCGACTCTCTACTCTTTCCAGTGCCAGGTAAAGACCTTTTATTTAACCATAATTTTAATAATTAATATCATTAATTTTAATAATATTAATTTTATACTGTCATATTTTCATTTTCTTCTTTTTCTTTAGTTATGAAAAGATAGATTGTTGTTTACTTTGTTTTATTGTTGAATGTTTTAAGGCTATTTATATTATTATATTGTTATTTTTATCTTCTGTAAGCCATCCTGAGGTTTGTTGCAAAGGACGGCATAGAAATGTTTTAATTAAATTAAATTAAATTAAAATTAAATTAACTGATATTTGATTTTTCTTTATTATTATTTTGTGCATCAGACCACTGCCCAGGGTGCAGTGGTCATCCAAGGAGCCCCCAAATCCCCATATGAACAGTCAATTTCATCTTCACAAATAGACTGCACACCTGTGCCTTAGGCCAATGATCCTACCCAATCAGGCAAAGACGAATCAGCCTTTGGGCAAATCGGAAGTCTTGATTTATGCTTACCTGGATTTGGCTCGTTGCCCACACTTTAAAATGCAGTTTCACAAACTCTCACGTATACCCCAAAAGTCTGCTTTTCTAACGTCTGCTAGATTGCTATATGATACAACATTCATTTTTTGAACCTTGCCTTATTAACATCTTATTTTTAATCATCAGTATTATTTTAACCCTGAGAAATGCTCTTTTTACGGGAGTATTCAAATACCAAACCTGTGGGTGGGGATGAGGTGTGCCTAGGTACATAAATAAGCACTCCATGTCTTCCTTGTTCACACTGAAACTTCGAGCCTTTCAGCAGTTCTTCCAAGAAGAAGAGGGAAGGTAAGATGATCTGCACTTGTTCAGAGCTTGTTAGTCAGGTTACTTATTAATGAGCAGGTAACAAAGACATGGGAAGAATTAAGCAGTGAACCAGGCAGGGCAGCAACAGCTAAGAACTGAGCTAGGGAATTTTACCTTTTCTTCTATTTATGGTCAGGTAGATGTGCTTATATTCTTATTATTTTTATAGACCAAGGAGATGTTTTACAAAAGGTGCAGTGTTTGCACTTACTGCTTACTATTTTGGATCTGCCAACAGCATTTGATTTATTTCTCTCCGATTTCCTACTCGGGTCGGACAAGTTCCTCCTATTTGTTTTAACACTGCCTTTTCTTGTGCAATGGTATGGCTTCTTTTTATACTACCTCCAGAAAGAGCCCTGAATGTTGGAGGCACTGATTTCACCCTACCCATCACTCTTCACACTTTTTCCATTTTCTGCCCATTCATTCCTTTTCTGTTACAATGACTCTATGTGTGGTTATTTCCATGGGTTGCGATGTAAAAAGATCCAGTTAGACTGATATACTGTCTTTATAAATGCCCTGTGCCTTTCCAGCTCAGCTACACTATCCTTACAGCCTGCATTTTTTTTAAAAGAAGTCGTCCTCACCTTCCCAAATCTCCTCATTTGGATTTTCCCTATGGAAACATTAGGCCCCCCTGCCCCATAGATATGAAAACACATTCCTGGGCAAGGCCTACTGTATCCCCTTCCAAAATCTCCCCATTTATTCTCTTGCCAGTATGTTTAGCCTTTAAAAATAAAAATCTGAACTCCTGTCTATCTGGCAATCAGCCCCTTTAGCTCTCAGACTTATTTACAAGTTAGTAACCTGGGTCCAGACTTAGTCCTCCATAGAAAATTGATTCAAACTGATAGTCCTATTGATTAACAGGGATCTAGTCTCAGCAAGACTAAAGCTGAATCCAACCTTAATGTGCTTAGGACTGAAGTCTGAGAAAGGGCGTTTTGTCACCCTGTTTCCAACTGGCCACAGAAGAGCTCATGACTCAGCAAAGATAAATTGCTTGAAAGCAACAGCCCTTGATTTAGAAGGTTAATGCATACCCCAACTGTATCAGCTATGCTCATCTTTCTTCTGAAGAATTAATCTTGATGGAGGCAGACCTACCAAATATCCACATGGAACCCCATTTTTATATGCCATCAGGTCAATCTAAGGAGCAAAAGTGTGCAGGCCCTTATCTCAGAGGCTTTCACCCCAGCTGAGCTCCCTTCCAGTATCGCTTACCTGAGAAGCACACTGAGGAGCTGTGGCACATTGGTGGAGAATATGCTTGCATGCAGGAGGCTCCAGGTGTAATCTCAGCATCTCCAAGTAGGGCTGGAAATAACCTGGAAAGCTGCTGCCAAATCAGCGTGGACCATACAGACCTAGAGGGACCAATGGTCTAGTTACAAAGGAGCCCCTTGGTTCTTTAAAAAAAGATTGCAAGGTTTGATTGCAAGCAGGTGTGGGGACAGGCAGGCACTTTAAACAGAAAGCTCTCTCCAGGTGGTTCATATGATTGCAGCAGATCCACATTAAAGATACAGGCCTGTTGTTGTCACGTGCAGTTTGGGTGTCCTGCTTGCTTCACTAAGTACACATGAGGGCCCCATGTTTTCACACAAATGGAAAATTGGATTGGGCAAAGATGCACCAATGCTCATCTGTATTCATGGGCAAGGAGGTACCCACCATTTCTCCATCAATTAACAAACTGTACATGCTAACCCTCATTCTAACATGCCAGTCTTGATTGTGAATTGGTTCTGAAGCCTGAATAATACCCATTGCTTATCCCAAATCTGCCCTCTGCCTTAGCATCAGTGGTCCATATCCTCTGGGAGTGTTGTATTTATTTTAAGACAAGATTTTGAAATGAACAGCCCTATAATCAGCCTAAAGGGGTGCTAATCAGATTCATCCAGACTGACCTGCAGTCAAATGAGAGAACACAGAAGAACAGAAGACTGCTAGCACTTCTAGTGCCTATCTACACACACAGGCACTTGCTCTAAAACTACTACCCAGCTTTGAAATTGATCAATGCCTTGATCCTATGAATACTCACCTTGGAGTACATCCCATGGAACACAGTGGGGATTACTTCTGAATAAACATGGATGAGATCAGGGTGTTCATCAGTCTGGACCAAAACTTTAACAGTTACGTCATATTTGCATTACACCAGAAAATGGGAAGGATCATCTTAAAACTTGCTGAGTGCCATCGTGGTCTATCAGGCTTACTGCTGGATAACTATGCATAGGCCTAGGAATTCTTTAAATGCACGACAGTTCTGACAGCATCAGCCATCTCAGTGAGAGAAACAAGAGTGTTGCAAGCTATAGCAAACTTATGGTCTAATGGTTCCTAAGTATGTTGCCACTCCTTGCAGAAGTGTTTTTGCTCCTTCAAATCCAATGCCTCTTTCTCTAAACTATTTGAATGCCCTTTACATGGCTCTAGTTCTTTAAATGATATAGCAAACATACCACTGAAGACAATGCAATCAGGCCAGACTTAATTTTTAAAAAATCAAAGCAAAGTATTTGTCTTTAATTGTCTTTGTCTTTATTATATTTATCTTTATTATATTTTTATAATAAAATATATTTGTCTTATTATACAGAGCAGGTGATCATGATAGATGATCCTTGAAGGGGAATTTCTTAAGGGGGTTGCAAAGCACTTATTGCTTCTGCCTTGTCTGTAAAGTGAATGTAAGACCTGCATTGGAGAGAGTGGTTATTGGAACAACATTTGCTCTCCTCCCCTGGATAATGATCAGACTTTCACAGAAATAGCTCAAGAGAATCTTAGATGAGAAAGCACTCAAACAGAATGTTCCAATCTAGGTTTACTTGGGAATGGCTCTGCTGAGTTCAGAACAATGGAACGTAACCTGCAGTCTTACCCACAGCAACAGTGAGAGCCAGAGAGGGCTGGTAGCTGGAGCGCAGGACTGGGGACCCGGGAGTTCCAGGTTCTAGTCCCTGCTCAGCCATGGAGCTCACTAGGTGATTTTGGATCGGTCATAGACTCTTATCCTAACCTAGCTCACAGGGTTTTTGTTGTGAGGATAAAATGGAGTGGAGGAAGACTATGTTAGTCGCCTTGGGGTCTTCAAAGAGGAAAACAGTGGGATATGCATGCAAGGCAATAATAAAGCATCTTAGTTAAACACAGTAGGGCTTAGTTCCATACAAACATCCATAGAACTGTGTTGGAGTTTAGCTCCTCTTTTCTTCTTCTGTGGCAAACCTGAAAAGAAAGCATACCAGTGAGTAGGACTTTGCCAGCCAGTGGTGGAGGGTTTTTTGTATGCCTCTATTGCTTCTTCTCAAATAATGTATTGTAAATAACTCTGATGCTTTTTCTCCCCCTAGCTTTAACCATGGAGAAGATCTTAGCATCCATGTTGCTTCTGCTTGTTGCTGTTTCCTGTACTTTGGCTGCAGACAGTACTACTGCTAAGAATGGGAAAAAGGACACAAAAGGAGCAAAAGAGACCCATCCCAAACTACCCCAAACTCTCTCCAGAGGTAAAGAGTTGGTTCCTCAGTTTTGTGGGAACTGACACCTTTAAAAAAAATTGTCAAGCATTTTTTAAATCTTCCGTCTATGTAATATTATTTATTATAAATACATGTAATAATAAATAATATTTATTTGCAACCCTTTTTTCCACTTGTTAAGAACCCAAGGCAACTCACATGATTCTGCTAGGCTCTCTTTTATCCTCACAACAGCCCTGTGAGGTAGGCTAGGCTGACAGTTAGTGACTGGCCCAAAGTCACCAAATGAACTTCATGACCGAGTAGGGGGTGGAATGCAGATCCCCTGAGTCTCAATCTAGCACTTTAACAGCTACACCACACTCTTTTTAAGGCATGTGCTACTAAATACATACTTTGTTTTTAAACAGATAATAGAATTTACTTTAACGTTATAAAACTATAATTTAACAAAGAGAAAAACCAGTTCACAGTAAGTATTTAGTAGCAGATGGTAAATGGGTGGCTAGCCTTTGTCTTCCTTTTGCTATTTGTTGATATGGCCATGGGAAAGTCTCTTATCATTCAGTTTCCTAGTCTGGCTAATAAGAATTCAGCTGTCTTTTTTTGGTGATCACAGCTGTAATCAAGATTGTACAAAGTGATAGCCCAGTCCTATATGATGTCTGCTTAGACTATGGCCCAAGAAGACCATATACAAAAGCATTAGTATTCAAGTAGTTCTTTCTTAATAAAAAAAACAAAAAATAACAAGGCATTAAATATAACATGAGGCGGCTGCTTTCCCAGTGCAACAAGGAAAAATTAGTAGCTAAAACTGATGTATCTGAAACAAATTCTTGTTCAGAATTCTAACAAAAGTGCTTGCAGTTCACTAATATAATTTTTAAAAATCCAAAAACCTTTCCCTAAACCTTTCATTTGAACAAATTGGCACATAAGATAGAGTAGGAATTGTGTCACCATTCTAGTTATGGGTGCCCTTTTCAAGGAGTGAAATTAAGATCTTCTTAAGCACATTTAAACTAAGGTCCCCCTTTCCACTTACCATTTTCCTTCAGGCTGGGGTGATCAACTGATCTGGACGCAGACTTATGAAGAGGCTCTCTTTAAAGCCAAGAACAAGTAAGTTCTCATGTTTCTAAGTTGCTTCCACCGTCTGTTTTTCTACTTTGTCACTTCTGCTTTTGTGCAGTAAGAAATGTCTCAAAATCCTTTTCCAGATCTTCAGACATTGCTGATTGTGACTTTCGCCCATGCTGGCTGGGAGCTGGGGGTTAAAGTCCAACACATCTGGGGAACACTGGGGAAGGCTGGCCGTTATGACATTCTAAAACAGAGTTTTTCCTTTTGCAGCAACAAGCCCATCATGATTATTCACCACTTAGAAGACTGTCCGCATAGTCAAGGTAGCATTCTTGCCAATGGGCATTTTTTCATATCAATCAAAGCAAATACCTTCTGCTCCAAAATCAACTCTTCTTTAAAATTACGCCCAAAAGTAAACCCAACCTTTGTTTTCCTCCTCTCATTAGAGCAAAAGGCAAGACCCCTATTTACCAATCCTGAGAAGCATTAACATCTCTTAGCACATGCAGTTTCATGTTTTAAATTCATTTTGATCAGAGCATCATCATGATTGCAGGAATAAAACAGAGTTTGCTTCTCCTGTGCTGGTGCTAAACAAATAAGCACCATTTTATCATAGCAATCAAGAAATATAATTATACTGTAAGTAAAAATAAAATAAACTTCTGGACATGCTCAGCTGGCCACCCCTTGCTATAAAACATGGATTTAAATAAGGATACTGTAACGGGCAGTGACAAAGATGGTGGGTTCTATCCATGTCAGCTTCCAGTGTTAAACATGGGCTTTTGCCACCATCCCCATCACCTGATGCTCTTGGGTGGTCATTTGGCTGAGGGGCAGAGGATGCTGGACTTACAAGGTCCACTACAGACATATACTCAAACTGCAGTGGTGCAATTGCCATGGTGCATTTCCCTTCTCTCAAGCCACTAGATACACCTGTGAAATTATAAACAGGCCTTCACATAAGATTTACAGGCACACGTAAGTTCTAGTACCTGTTTCTCTAGAAATGAAACCTTGGTTGGTTATGTCATTCAAATTGGATCTGCTGTGGGTACAGTTGCAGGGCAAACAGCACAGATATGGTAGAAGCTCATTAAAACCTACTTGGGGTGCAATCTTATGCCCATTCAAACAGAAAAAAAGTCCAACAGCTTCCAGATGCTGGTTAGCGAATGCTGCAAGTTGTAGATTGTTGTTTTTCTGTCTAAATATGCATAGGGCTGCACCCTGCTTGTATCAGCTAAGCATCCTCGCTTAGTCTTTGGTTCTTCTTGCTGTTTTCTTTGCTAAGCAAAGAAACCTAATTTTTAAAAACCAAATGGACTGATCATGATGATCTCTTGTTCTCAGGACTGTGTATGTACACACACACACACACACACACACACACACACACACAACTTCTTTAGCTTCTTTTAGTTTACAGTGATATGTACTATACTTTAAACACTGCAATGATATGTAGTATACTTTCCATGTTTTTGAATCTTTTCCTTTTTCAAATAGCTTTTCAATTTCTTATTCCATTCCAGCACTGAAAAAGGCATTTGCTGAACACAAAGAAATACAGAAACTGGCTGAAAAGTTTATTCTCATCAACCTTGTTGTAAGTTTTTGGCATAACACTTGATCAAGCACTTTCTTTTGTGGTACTCTGGAAGTGATTATTCTTTTGGCTAAGTTGATACTGTGGGCCTATCTAATGCTACCAAAGAGCACGCACACACGCACGCGTGCGCACGCACACACGCACATACACAGAGAGAGAGAATATGTAGATACGGGAGAAGCATAGCTATCATATCTGTCAGGGATGCATTGAACTGGATTTCAGAGCTGAGCAGCAGGTTGGATTGAACTGCTTAAATGGTCCTTTCTAACCCTACGATGCTATGTGCTGTGTATGTACAACCAAGCTTATAGTAATAACCAAATCCTTACCTTGGTTCAATGTGTAAATTCTGGAACAGTTCTTACATAATCTTTAAGTTGAAGTAATTGCCAATGTTGATAAGTTACATTGGCAGGGTGGAAATTTCTCAGTGTGATTTAAGTGGTACACATTACATGATTTCATTTGTTTTTATATCATTATTCCAGTATGAAACCACAGACAAGCATCTCTCACCAGATGGCCAATATGTTCCCAGAATCCTGTTTGTAGGTAAGTGGTTTAGGAGAAAAAGCTGTCTTGTATTAAAATTAAAAAGGTCCCAGAGCAAGATTAATGGTATTAAATAATACAAATTGCAATACCTATTGTCCACTAAAAGTTTTGTTTATATTGTTCTGGGTGATGGTTGGTCTTTCTGCATATGTAAAGCAGAATCCAAGCAGTTTGTCCAGGATAAAATGTGCTGTTTCCTTTTTCCAGGTTAATACTTCAAAATGTGCCTATTTTCATCCCCCAGTATTGCAACAAAATATAATTCCTTTTCCATCCATAAGTAGTGACATGCTGCATGTAGAAATGAAAGGATAAGTTTATTGATGTGTAATAGAGCTCATTAGCGTTTTTTTTTGCAGGGGAAGACAAATTTCTCTCTTCTTCTGGTTTCATCTTCTATAAGAGGAAATCAGGTTTTGAAAGCACCCAAAGGAATGTGGTTGCTGGCAAATGCTGATTCTCTGGTACTGCTGGTTCTGTCAGTGCACTAGTCAAACCAAGCTTATCTTGTTACATGACTGTCATGGGAGTCTATGAAACAGGGCTTGTGACATGCACTTGCAGTGCTGCAGAACTGCTCCCTTCCACAGATCATGCAATTTGTGCAACTTAATATTGAGGCAGGGGAAATCAATAAAAAAATTTAAAACATGCACTTTTAGAAATGAAAAAATCCATGCTGCATTCTGCACCCAATATATTTTGGAACATGGGTGCACCGGAAGAAGCTCTCAAAAAGGATGAAGGCCATTTCTGGGCGAATTCAAAGAGGTTAATCACTATACAGTGAGATACCTAATCCTTGCACAGGATAGGCAACTGCAATTACAGCTGGCATTTTGTACTCTGTTCATTTGCAATTTTGTACTCTGTTCATGTGCAATTTTGAATCTTTGAGTGTATATATATCCCAGTGGAAACCATTTGCCCTTGCAGAGTGCAGTACACCTTGCAGCCCGCCATGTCCTATCCCACACTGCTCCAAAGCATCAAGTAACCCTCTTGGTAGAATATGGATGGCTGCAGTGGAAGTTGGGGGAGCTCCTGGTGGGAAAAGAATTGATTCCTGCTATCAGTCCCTCTGTGTGTAATTAGATTCTGCAGGGACAAGATACCTGCTAGGCTGCTGCTAATGAATGCCTCCCCCCTTTCCCTTTTCTAGATCCTTCACTGACAGTAAGAGCAGATATTACAGGAAGATATTCCAACCGCCTCTATGCTTATGAGCCTTCAGATATTGCATTATGTAAGTATATGCTATTTCCTTTTTAATATAGATTTTGAACATAAGAAACGCCTTCATTTCACAGAATGAGGTCCTTCTTTCTGTACAATTGCACTAGGAACCAACTATTAGGCTTCTGTGGGAGTAGCAGCAATTCGGGGTATTAAAGCATCTTTCTCATTGCTGTGTTACAAAAGCACTCAGAGAACTGGTGTCCTGGTGAAGGTTGTCATTCTGTAGGCAATTAACTGCAGTTAAGTTCCATTGAACCCTGAGTACACACACGTAGGGCTACAATATATGAGCTGCCAGTCAGTCCCCTGTCCAAATCTCTCTTTAGCCACAAAATCACATGCCCAGCCTCAGCCCTGTTTATACACTAGGCTAATAATATTAGCCCCCATTACCTGACTGTTTTCATAAGAATTTCTAGAATACTGAGGCCTTGAGAAAAGCATTCTTTAAATAGTGATCTCTCTGTAAAAGATATTAATTTGCTGATCCTCAAACTGATGTTTTAAATGTACCAATTTGTACATATATAAACATGATCTTGCTACACTTCAGCAGTAGATTATATCGATTGCTACATTAAAATGGTGGCAACATATCGTATATGTACAATTACAAAGGTATTTTTCCTTTGTAAAACCAAGCCATGGCCCGCATTTGGTGATAACAAGACTGATCTGCTACACACCAGTAATTATAGCATCCCAAGCTATGGTCATACCACCTGGCAATGTTTGGTTTGCAGATGGTTGTGGGCCCACAACACAACTCAGTTGTGCTCCCTTGATTTAAGGTTGTATTACTAAGTACAAGGGCAGGCTTCCTTCATGTCACTGCCAAATATTTATAGGGCAAGGTTTTAATCAGAGGCAAACCACAAACTAGGGCTGAAAACACATTAATGGCTCACTGCACAGAACTATATCAAGTAGTCTCCACCTGGCAGAATTAGCATGAAAAGCATCCTTAAATCAGAGAAAATAAATGTAATTCAATTTAAAAGAGCTGTGGATCTGAATTTCTGCTATATGTGGACCATTAAAAGCAACACATGGTTTCTGCCACTCTTACTGGGGAATAAAGGAGAGAGCTTCATTTTTCACCAGTTATTTAATTTAGAGGGCACAAATTGACATCTGGGAAACTGGTTTCAATTTTAAGCTACTTTGTGTACAAAATATTCTGACCTACACATCTCTTTCTAGTGTACTCAAATATGCAGAAAGCTCTGAAGCTTTTGAAGACTGAATTGTGAAGAAAGAGAACAGATACACTCTCGAGTCTTCCTTAAGACCTCAGACAGTTCTTACCCATGGGAACATACAAGTTGGCTATGGATATGCAGATCAAAGACCTATACTATCCAAAACTTCCAACAGGAAAACTGTGTTACACTCATTTGTAACTGTGTGGTATTAAGTATTGATTGCTTTTATAGAAAACACTGTGTGCTCTTTTCTATAAATCAGGATTAAAAAAAAATCTACTTTATGGTATTTACAAGAGTGAAGTCTGGCTTTTTTAATGATCTTGCAAAAATATCTATAGGATTTCCAGGGTCAAATGTAACATAGGGAAAGAATCTGGTAGAGACATGGTGACAAAACAGAAGCAGAAAATTGAATAAACTGTAATTGGGCAGGCTGAAGCAGGTTGGGTTTGTTTCCTGGACATGCCAAGTGGGACTGGAAAGGCTCTTGTCTGAAACCCTGGAGATCCATTGCTAATGAACAACAGCAGTGAGAGCGAGAGAGAGAGAGATATGGGGTGGTGGGAAAATAATAGAAAAATCTATTAATTTATTTTTCCAGTCTTGGGCTCAGCTTACCCTAAATGCTTAAGAAATTTTTAAAAGTTTGCATAAAAATTCATATACATTTCTGTGCATATTTTGCCTAATATAATGCATTTTTATGGTTTTTCAAATAGACAGATGTTTGTGTGCTTCCCCATAGTATATCCATTTTGAGAAGTTTTTTAAATGAGATTTCTCAAAAATGTACAAATAATGGATATATTGCAAATGGCTCCCATCAACATGTAGAAATGACCGCTGCTTTGAGGGAAGGAAAACATTTAAATAATGTAGTGAACTGAACCAGTGTCTTGCATGTGCCCTTGGCGTGAGCCAAGGAGGGCTCCATTACCTACAGGTCTTAATTTACATTCCATCTGTTGAATTGTTAATGTTTGGTTCCCCAGCTATTTATGTTAGAACATTGACATGAATAACTGGTAACCAAAGTATGGTCATCTATTAAATAGCAGCATCACATCTGCTTCAGTATTAATGCTTTACATCACCTTAGATGGAAAAACCAGATTTGCAGCTGTTTCATAGTTGAATTTGGTGCTTGAGACAGGATTACATTTGTCCTCATATCATCTGCAAGGACATTTCCCAACAGCACTAAAATATTGGCTTTATCTGGATGTAACAAGGAGAATCTTGGCTTGTTGTGCTTTTAGCAAAATGTTTAAACTGCTCCTGCTTTAAGTGGGTATAGCTAAATAGATTGGGTCCTTCCCTTCACATCATATACAGCCCAGAGAATCTGGCTTGCCTTTCCTCCAACATGCCAGAGTCACAAGACGGCATCACGGCTTAAGACTCTGGTTTGTCCAGGAAGAGAAGGCAGAGTTCCTGGTACTCACAGAACGCTAAATAAACCAGATAGATGATCCATGATTTGTCTAGCTACTCCTGTAGGAGTGTTCAAGCAATGCTCATGAGCATGGAACCCTGGCATACTGCCACATGCAAAGTTGGCCATTGGGATTAAGCTGTTAGGTTCGAGAGAGAACCAAGCCAGAAGTAAACAAACATTACCAATGGGCTACTGGCCCAGAATGAGGGACCTCAGGGTCAAATGCCTGGGGATAACCTTCACCACTTGTCTGCCACACCCTGCCGGAAGGTTCAGGAGGAACTATTACAAGGCTGCCATTGCTGCTCCACTGTCTAGCATCTGCCACCTGAGACAATCTCCTCAGTTTGCCACATCGTACTGCCAGCCCTGTTGAGTCAACAAGAAATGGATGCTGAGAAAATGTGTACATGGATGGGGTGGAGGTGTGAAAGACTGCTGCTCTTCCTTTCAACATGTTCTCTGCCATGCATGAATTGCTTTTAAACGTGCAAGGTGGCATTGGGAAAGAACAACTTAAGGAACATTAAGTACTGATGTACATACACTGGTATGAACACTGCCAGACAGTTGTCAGTGCAGCCCACAATCTGTTTAAATATTCTTGCTAAACATATTGACAATTCCACGTGTATGAGCCAATGTGCATCTGCTCAGAATTAAGACCCATTGAGGCCCTCCCAGGTAAGTGGGTACAGAATTATAGCTCAAGGCTGCAATCTGATACCCATGAAGCTGGGAGTGAGTCCTACAGAATTCAGTGGGGCTTACTGTTGAGCAGAGATGAATAAAATTATATGGAGGTACCACCCTGTCCATGAAGGCCTTCCAGAATCCATTGATACAGCTTTTCCTACCAGACAACTTGCTTTTTCCTGCATCTCTTTTGTGTCATCATTCTTGTAAGCTAGTTGACCCTTAAAGAATTCACACAGATTTCATTTTATAAGAAAATATAACCACCACAGTCCAGTTGTTCTTGCATGGACACCATTATAAAGAGGTGGCTCTGTGCTTTAGTATCTGTCTGTTACATAAGACAAGCTTACACCTAAATTTTAAACATACTTCATCCGAAGTTTTATTTGTTAAATAAACTACTGAAGCACTACAAAGAATTTACAATTTTCCAGTTCACATTTATGATCAAATACCCTCAACATCAATTAATGAATGCAATTTGCAAAGTCTAAAGACTGACATGAGTATCACAGGTTGCTTACTACATTAACTTAAATCAATCTATCACAAATGCAACATTTACAAAATGTCCAGTCATCAGGACCTGTCTCTTATTCTGACAAGCTAACTAAGCACAAACTCTTATGCCACTTTACACAGTTCATTCAAATAGAAGTTTTCAGCTATGCACTGAAAATGCATACCTCCTTTATCCTCACGTTACTGTCGTCCATAAAATCTAAAATCAAGGGCAGATCTACATCAAGATGCAATGATTCTGAATGACAACCAGCCAACCCAACCCAACCCAACCCGTGGCGTACAAGAACTCTCACCAAAATGCCAATAGGGTTCTGAAATGGAATCATGTCATTTACATGGCAATTCTGAAATAGATGGACAACACTAAGTAGCATAAACGCTTCGGTTTTCACATACTAATGTTTACAGAAACTGGAATGGGAGTGGGAAGGAGAAACAGAGCAAGAGGCAGAAAAATAAGTTTCTGTCTCTCAAATGATTTTTCGGTTCTTTTTTTACCCAAGCTAATACCAACATGGAAAGCAGCAACACAATACTGTACAGTAGTTTTCAGTGGAAATATGCAGCATTAGGCATGATTCAAACCAACAAAATTATTCATTCAAGAATGAGGAGAGAGGGAAAACAGGAATGAACAAATTTCTGGCAGATGAAATCTAGCAGAAATATCATTTCCCCTTTAAATCAAAAGAAGTTTCATTAGATTGCAATGATACTATAAAATTACAGTGGTTCTCCTGAACTCCTAAGGTAGTCATATCCAGTTTAGTTACACCATTGAATAACGCATTCCAAACCAGTTGATCCCGGGACGGGGGGGTGGGGGGACCAAAAACAGAAAGCAAGACACACGGCAGTTCTAGGAGTGTCATCTTATCTCAGCTGTGCAACCCCTAATTAAGATGGAGAGCAGCCAATCAGTGGGGAATTCGTTTTTAAAAATGCAAGAGTGGATATTCAGTCCCTTGAGAAGATTTCCATGTCAAAGAAATGCACTAGGATTTGCACGTGGATCCTTTTGATTCCTGTATCTGTAAGTGAGCCACACGCCCAAGATCTGGGGAGAGAGAAGAAAAACCAGGGGGAGAGTGAAATAAATTGCTGGCTAAGAGAGGATATTGCAGTTGCAAGTTCAGTTCATCATCACTCAATGACACTGCAGCCCTTGCTAATCAGTGTACCTGAAGATGAGGAGCGCTATGCACAAGTGGGCGCAGTGGCAAGACTCCCGCTCACTAGCTTGACTGAGTGGTGCTTTCCCCCATTACAGTTCCAAGTACCACTATAGCCGAATGGGGAGGAGACGTCTGCATCCATCATGCCTCACCTCTTTATGCCCACCCTCTAGCACAAACATTGTTGGCGGACAGACACTCCATCTCTAGACAATATAGTTAATTATGAGGGGTAATGGGAATTGTTGTCCATCATCATCCACAAGTTGCCCAACCCTCCTGTATGTTTTTCATGAACGTGCAATTTTTAGTCCTGAGAAGGTACTTCAGTAGTGTCCAAATTTATGTACCTTGCACTAGTTTCATTTTGGGATTTGCTACTGCTTTCTTGGGTTTAACTTTATTGGGCTTACCATTTTAATTCTGAGCTATTTTTATGGTAAGAGGACCAGGCCACTGAAGAAATAAATGCATGTTGACTTGGATGCTACTTCTGAGGAGGAGTGGGGAGAGGGAGAGTGGGGGAGATTGAGGGGGAAGGGAGGGGGGGTGTCAGATGAAAGGACTACAGAACAGGGAAGCTACTGCTTAGAGAAACATGTTAAAAATGTTGCTATGTGCATTTCTTTTCCTGCATCATCTCTGGGTTCAGGGACAACGTGCTGTGAAAGCACTGAATTTCGACAAGTACATGTTTCCACAGATACTCCAGAGATTAAAGAGACCTACACCATATCTGGACAGCTGCTCAGCAAACCATTCTAGCACCAATTGCTCGGTGATAATTGAACAGATATTGCAAACTGTCTCTAGCTCAAGAGTGCAGGATGGGTTGGGAGAGAGTGTGTTATAGAGAAAGAGGAACCAATTCAAGGTACAGGGGAGAATATTTATTTTCTGCACAATTTCTTCCGTGAATTCTTACATAATTTAGCTCAGGAATAATTAATTCCAAGACAAGACAAAAACAATTGTGTGAGCAGTCTTTTCCACGTATCATAATATATTAGGATTGATGATATACCATATCCTGTGATGATAGTTTGGTTTGCTATTTGTTTTCTTCCCTTTTTCTTCTCTCTCTCTGTTATCACTCTTTCCTTTCTTAAGGATGTGATTTAAACATGAAATAATATCAATGATTAGATCAGTCTACAGAAAACAGACTTAAATGGCTACTTGCCATATAGTAACTGACCCAGCAGTTTATTCAATGGGATGTACTCCCAAGTATCCACTGCAGCCTCATCTGGTAAGTATTTGGCAAGCTATTCAAACATCTCTTACTTGAAATTGATTTATGGTAGACATTTAGTACTGAACCCCCCCCCCCTGCTTTTTTTTACAGAAACTCTGCCTATCGAAAATTGTGCTTACCTCTGTGAAGCTAAAGAAGAGTCCAATGCCACCCACGAATCTCAACACCATCCCAGAGAACTCTTCTATTACTGGTGCACAGGGGTGGCATGATTGTGATTTAAAGCAGTCCTGTAATCAAGCAAAGATTAAGCATGGTTAAGACATTCTCCATCCCTGCATATTTAAGCAGACAGACTTCCAGATCCCAGCTTTCAAGGCAGATCTAGGAATATGGAGATTTAGCAAATGGGCCAGTCTCTCTTGTATTGCAAACTGTTCAGTGGGAGTCACTGTCAAGATTCTGAAGAAGAGGAGGACAAGCAGCAGCAAGAGGGGTGGCCAAGTCTTTGAAGCACCTTCAACTGTGCCTAGTGAAGTTTCTCAGGCAAAGCCTGAGACTCATCCTGCTTTGGAAGGAGAGGTGGGTTTTCAGGAAGGGAAGGGAACAGCCCCAGTCCTTAACCCAGTGAGAAGTCAGAAACCAGTTGCTCAATAGAAGGGGCTTTGTTGTTCATGCTGCCTCGTTCTCAGGCAGCAGGAGCCATCCAGAGGGTGGAACCAGCAGCCTTACTGAAAAGGAGGACCAAGGGGAAGTTTCCGGTTTGGATTCAACTCTTTAGATGAGCAGAGGCTTCTCTTTTCAGCTTTGCTATTTAGAGAGCAAACTGTGGTGTCTCAGAAAAATACCATCATTTCAAAGGGACCGGCTCATGACAGGGGACAGGGACAAACAATCCAAAGACATGGCATCCCTCCTTGCAAAATAAACTATAGATTATTATTGCAGCTTTGCTAGGAGGATGGAATGCTGCTACTTTAGTAGCTACATTTTACACTAAAAGTCATAAGGCTTTGTAGGTTACAAAATCAACATGGGTGAAACATTTATAAAAATGGAAATACCCAACGTGCAAGAAGCTGTTTATTTCTGACAAAGAGAGACAACTGCTCATGCTCCATGTATATCAGTCAATGCCCTCTTCTGCTAAAACGGGCTTTGTAGCAGAATGCAGAATGGACTTGTCTACTTACAGCAGCGCAGGTGGCCTCTTCACTGACATTGTGGAATCCACAGCAGTCCAGATTCCGCTCAATATCCTGCTTTGTATTGTTTGTGCTATTCCAGCCAACTTCTAGAAGCTTGCTCTAGGAGACGCAAGGAAGTTATTTAGTAGCAGATACTCATTCCGTTGCCATTCATTTGAGGTGACTACTTGCATAATGACAATTGTTTCAGATTTCATGTGGGTGGTCACTTTGGCTGAACCATCCACACAAAAGAAATACAAGTTTTCCAGCTGCATCTTGTCTTGGCAGTATAAAATATGATGTTTATTCACTTCAGTGGATGATCCCATTTTTTCTTTTTAAGACTGGAATCTCTTTTCCCCTACCAGTCCTTCAGATAATGATTTTATAACCCTTTCTCCCAAGCCTTCCATAACCTTTACTCTGAAGGTCTCAATCCTTGAATACCATTTTCCACCCATAAAGGTGGATCTACTTCCCAGGTTGGTATATGTGCTTGATTTTGTATTCTTCTCTTTGCTTTCGAGAACTTTGTAGAATCTTCTAACTGGGGATTGAGCCCCGCCTCAATTAGCCACACTTGAGTTCCATGGAGATCAATTTATCATTACACCAGTATTACATTGCCTTTTTTCCTTTGTGAAGAATCAAGACAGCTTGCATTATTCACCACCACTCCTTATTATCCTCCTAAAAACCCTGTGAGATAGGTTTGCCTGAGAGTCCATGACTGTCCAACTTTCATGGTTGAACTGGGACCATGTTGAAATGGTTGAACATAGTTGAACCTGCATCTCCCAGCTCCCTAGCCCAAAGCTCTCACTACCATTCCAGACTCATTTCCAATATATTTTAACCTACAAGAAGTTCTGCCCCTTCACAGCAAAAAGACATGCTGAGAATCAATTGAGACTGGAGGGGTCCTTTTGCCACTTCAGGATAACTCCCTGCTGGACTCTTTTAGCTTTCAAAGAATCAGCATCCTCACAACTAAGCAATAACAATGCTTAATGTTATCTGAATGTGAGTTGCATAGTTTAAGCACTGACACATAATCTCAACAGGCATTCTGTTTTAATGGCTGATGCAGTCTATTTTGTAAAGAATTTAAAACAGTACAATAGAAATACTGAAATGAACAGTTTATTTACTGAAATGAACAGTTTATTTGCACTGCTACACTGTGTTTTGAAATGAATCGGTACTATTGCTATGATATGCATTCCTCATTTGTACATTTTTGGTAGTACAAAACATGACCAGATCAGGGAAATATCAATCAACAATAGTATTTTTGAAAAATATGCACAGCAGAAGATATCCCTATTCCTCTATTACCATTCTTGCAGTGCAAGTGACTTTGGGCACACCTGCAGGGAAATGTTCCATATCAAAATGATAAATGGTGCTAATAAAACAAGCTTTATAAAAAGAAGTCACAAGACATTTCTTACCTGCTGTTCCTTGTTCAATGTCAGGCAGGCACATGAGACCGAAAACTGTATAACAAACACTAACAACAGGATAATCATATACTGAAGTCACATAGTTAAGGTCACCAAGACTGCAAGTTCAAAGGTGATCTGCACACCTCATACACAAAATGGTGCCAAACTGTACAAAATTGTTATTTTTACCATGTGTCCTGCCATGCCACAAACCTGGTTTGGATCAGAAGAACCCCTAATGAATGATGAAGTGAGGTAATCTCCATGGGTGATTGATATTTTGTGATGTTAACAAGGACACCATAGGAGAAAACTTCCATTTCAGGGGAGGCACACCACTAGAAAGCTCTTCTCCAGCCCCCCCCCCCCCCCATTTCACCAATGGGAAAGAAATGTCACTTAACTTTCTGCCTCAGCACTGCAATTTCTTTAGAATGCCTTGGACTGGATGGTCAATCATATAATTATTTTGACTAAAATATTTGTTTATACAAAAGCAATCTACAGTGGCACCTTGGCTCATGAACTTAATCCATTCCAGGACTCTGGTCGTGACCCAAATTGGTCATGAGCCAAGTTAAATTTCCCCATAAGGTTCAATGTAAATAAGGTTAATCCGTTCTGTAACTATTTTTTTAATCAGAAAAACGTGAAGCAAAGTGTCAAAGAACAACAAAGAGTGCAGCCACCTCCCCACCCCCACCCCCCAGCACAACCACGATCGCGCCCATCACCCCTGCGCGTGCCCGTAATCCCGGCGTGCTGGGGAAGAGGGGACAGACAGGCACGATCTCGGGCACGCTGGTTCCAGAGGGAGACAGGCATGGATGCAGGCGTACTGGGGAGGAGAGACAGGTGCTATCATGCTGCGGGGGAGATGGCTGAGATCGCGGTGGCGCTCGTGCAGGAAAGACGAGCACAATCACAGATGTGCTCATGCAGGAAAGATGGGTGCGATCTCAGTCATCTCCCCGCTTGCGGGGGGGGGGGGGATGCCCGCGATCATGGTCACCACCCAATGCGGAGTTTAAGACCTGAGCCAAAATTCTTATGAAATTTGTGTTCGTGACCCGATTTGGTCGTGAACTGAGGCGTGCATGAGCTGAGGTACCATGGTATTTCTCACCCTTTGCATTTCCACTGGCCTTTATTTAATATCACTTCTCAGTTTTAGACTTTCACCTTACTTGAACTTATAGTATTACTGTGAATCAATGCTCCCCTATGAGGTAAATTGCAAGAGCTTTTTAGTTTTAAAAAAGGGAAACAAGAATATGATAGAGGAGTGGCATGGAGAAAATGAAGAGTTATGTTTTTCCTGCTCCCTCATAATATTGGAATATGGGATCACCCAACAAAGTTGAATGCTGTGGAAATCATGACAGATGCAGTTCAGCTATGGAATTTGTTAATTTGGTCTGCTGGTCAGTAACTTGGGTGACTGTAAAAGGAGGCAAGACCAATTCATGGAGGATAAGGCTACTGATAACTAATCACAGTAGTACCTCCAGGTTCAGAAATTATATGCTTCTCTATACTAACTGCTGAGCAAGAGGAGTGGAAGACGCCCCTGCACATGTCTTACTGGTGGATTTCCACTGGCACTGGATTGACTGGAGCAGCTGGGCCTTTGGTCTGATCCAGCAGAATCCTTATGTAGGGACTAAGTAGTTAATATACACAGTTTTAAACAGCAAAATTGAAAGTATTTCTGTTCTCTGCATTTGAGTTTCTATCCGAGGCACAGTTACTTGTGAATAAGCCTAAGTAACCTCAGTAGGATTTATTTTCCTACTGAATTGCACTGTACTGTGAAGCTGTTATAATCCCCTCGCTGAGCTCAGATAGTGTTTGATAGATTGCAGTTGCAGTTTCATCACAATAAAAGTCCACTAAGGGTTCCTTCACTAACAAATACCTGCAAATATTAATTGCATCTTATTGAGCAACAAAGCAAACAACTCTGAGTTTAACTCAGATGCCACTTTTAACACCCAGGGTTTAGCTTAATATTTAACAAAGTCAGACCAAATCCATGGAAACCATATACAGTACCTTCGAGGCGAAAGGTTTTATCGCGTGGAAGCAATCTTAGAACTACCAGAACATTTTGAATACTGAAACCTATACCTTCTTCCAAAAAACAATCTGAATTCTAATGTTTAGGGCCTTAAAATGAAATTCCTGTGGATTAGTGTTGCTAAAGCTTCCAAGGCTTCACAAGAACAAGTGAACTTCAAAGGTTTCTATGGGTATTCAGCAGGGACTTTTCAGAATTGCATGCACTAAAAGGGATCTGCTGAAGCATTATACTCATGGATCTCTTATTTGCTTAGATGTGCCTGCTAACGGCCTACTTCATATTCTGGACAACTAGCAAGTGCTTCTTCCTCTGAGGCTACACTGAGTTTACTCATCCCCAGATTATTTTACATGCCCCATTCCAAAGCAGATGCATGATTCCCACTGCCCGTCCCCCCACCCCCCAGGAAGAGAATGCATGCTGAAGATGTGTTTTCCTAATAATTCTGTCTAGGCCAAAATTCTCATGCTGTTAAGTATGTTGATGCCTTTCTTACTTTGGCTTCTAGATTACACAAATGGGACCTGCCACACAATGTTCAGCAGGGAGTATTTCTTTTAGTGATTCCAACCAGACAACTTTCCTAATACTCTATCTCATACCTCATGCCTCCCTCCTCTTCCTGTCCCAATATCAGCCAATATTCTTGGTCCTTTTTTAGTCTTGGTTTTCTCCTTCTATTTTCCTGATTTTTTAAGCTTCTGCCAACTTTGGGTCCCCCGGCCCTCCAAGCCTTCTGGTATTTTCCTTCTGATATGTAGGGAGGCTACATAAGGGTCTATGCTCAGAGATGGAGATCACTGTAACTACATAGCATGCCTCACCAGTGTGTTCATTCCCAACTAGGGACAGGGCTTGTGCATGCTGAGCAGGAACAAAGGGAATTCACAGCTTGATCTATTTTTGCACAAACACACACACACACACACTCCTTCCTTGGACCCTGAAGTCTTGCTCTATCTGTTCCAGTGTGGCTATGCCATTTGACTCCAGCCTCTGTCCTGTGTGGCGTGTGAATGACCTGCTTCTGGTTCTTCCTGGATCAAGTTACCCCTTAAATAATCTTGACACAATTATTTCCTCAGATTACTTCCACAGCTGAGTGGAATTCTGGAGCCACTTGCAACAGTAGCACAACTGGGAGCAGAGAAAAAGGGCTGGGCAGCAACCACACTGGCTTGAATGGGTTGGAGATGGCCACACCTTCACAGAGTAAACGCTCCTATTCTGCAGGAATTGTAACTGGCAAAGCTCCCAGCAGTGAACATTTTAGTTTAGCTCCGTGGCATATGAAAACACTCAGCAAATAAAGGCAAGTGTTACAGGTTCATCCTGAGATCTATAAAACAAAAAGAAAAAACAGATGGCAGCTCAAATCAAAACATGTGTCCAAGAGCAACTTTTTACTTCAAATATAGTTTGGCTAATATAGCATGATTCATTAATGGAACAGGAAACAACATGCTATTCAAGAGACCATGTTAAATGTAAATAGGTAACTGTACTGTGCATTATTCCAATTATTTCAGTTTTGGCACCTACCAAAATAAAAATAAAACAATAAAAAGACAGCTTCTCATTGGAGATTTTGCACTCCCAAGAGTGGTCCACTAGAGTGCCTAAAACAGAAGATTTCACCCATGGACCAGCACTGTCTGATAACCGGGACTGCCCTAGCATTAGGAAGAGCAAGACCATTGCTGTGCTATGTCACAGCAAGACCATTGCTTCAAGGCACAGATGCTGGACGGGGAAGCAAGACACTGGAAAAGAACGTGGTGCTCACCTTATGTGCCCTTAAGCAAGCTGACTGAGGTGAGGGGGAGGATTCCGTCTCCTTACAGAGATCCTGCTGCCCATTCAGTCAGTTTCTGTATACAAAATGGGAGGGACTTCCATCTTGCCCTGGGCCCAGGCCACAAAATGAGCTGATTGCAGCTGACACACAGCTACGTCAATTGCAAATATAAGTTTTTTTATATATAAGTAGAACAGGAGGTGTTGAGAGCTCACCTAACAAGGGAGTTACTCCCATAAAAAGATATGTTGTAGATATAACTGGCTAGAGCGTGAAGCAGTTCACTTGCTATGCAGGATTACTAAGCAGCCCGCACCTTCTGTTTAAATATTCTCCTCTGTGTTTTCAGTGATATCACACAAGAAGGAATCTGAATTAAGGTAAGACTCAGTGGTTGCACTCACATATACAGGGCTTTTTTTGTCATAGAACGCACCAGAACAGCGTTCCGGCACCATTTTTTGATGGATTTTTCCAAGTGGTTGTGAATAGCCCTGTTGGTCGTAGCAGATCGGAGGCAAAAATCATTAACATAGTGCCTGTGGGCGCTGCTCGGCTTGGGATCGGTCATGTGGCTGCACACAGTGCTTACTGCCAGCGGTGACCAATGTGTAAAAGTGTGACCCCAGGACGTGAGTTTGGCACCTTTTTTTCTTCTTTTTTTACAAAAAAGCACTGCATATATACATGGATTTCCTATGGTAGGCTGGTTGGCCAGACTACTGGAGTGGATGGGTACAAGTATAACCCAGCTTGTGTCTTATGTTCTTAGGCACTGTTTCTACTAAGCTTGTGCAAATCATCCAAGTATTCTCAGTTGAAATACTAGAAAACACTGTAACTATTACAGCCCAAAGTGACTGTCAGGACCGCTTAGCAGGAACACCACAAACACCAGTAAGCTGGATCATGATTTTACTGGCCTTCTAAAGTGTTTGGCTTTTATCAATAGCCACTGTGGGGTTTACTTGCAACCAGTTTTTATTGGATGTTATTGTGCATGTTGTTATCTTATATATGGCCTTTGGAGGGCTCCATCCTTAAAGGCAGCTGAAAAATAATTTTAAATATGGCATGCACAGACTTCCACTGAAAAATGTAAAAAAAGAAAAAAAAAGAGGGGGAGCTGCTCTGAAGAAAATGGACCATATGCAATCAATCAAAATCTATCACCAGTAAACTGGTCTCTCTGATAGAGGACAGAGCATCAGGTCACAACCTGTGTGTGTAAGTGTGTCTATGCACACAAGCACACATACCACAATCAATGGGATGTCTTTTCTTTCTCCAACACAATCAATGGGAAGCAAACAGGTGAAAAAAAATGCAAAGACAGCCTTTAGGCAGCAGGCAAAGATACAATGGAGCTGTATTCATAAGGTGATGCTTCTGGTAGATTAAACACGCCCTACAGACTTGTGCATGGCACTAAAACCTGCAATTTCTAGCAGAAACCATTATTACTAGAGTGTGAAGAACACAGACAACTACTTCAAGAAACTAATACATTGTATACAGGAAACAAGCCAGAAATCCCTATCATGACCTGTAACAATTTCAAGAAAACCAGTTATACCACCACTGTCTTGTGACCTAACACAAGTGGAGAGATGAAGCTTTTAATTAGAAGCTTTTAACCAATGTCATAACTGAACCAGAGGACAACTGTAGACCCCACCCTCACTCACACCATGCCTTATATTTTACCTTAGTTCATTAAAACTGCTGTCATCATTTAATACATAGAGGATGAATAACAGCCCAGGGAGGTGAAGGAGAGACTGGAGTTCTTTCCAAGTAATTCCGGGAAAAGGGCTTAATATATTAAAAAGCTCAAGTCAAAGGATACAAAGAAAAGCAACACCTGGTGGTGTTTGATGGCACCGATCAATCCCACCAACGCAATCAGGAACAGAAATATCCCAACTGCAATGGCTACTCCAACGACCTGGAAACTGGAGATGAGGCCAAACCCGATGCCCCATGCTGCAATTCCAATCAGCAACAGGCTCACCAGCTGGAGGAAATCAAGAAACAGAAGGATGATGGGTATTTCTTAAAATGTCATAATACAAAAAGAATGATACATAATGACACAAGAGTGACAGTAGAAATAATTTCCATCTAACACAGAATACCCTTTCAAGTGATCAGGCATTGCTCTTGGGTACATAGCTTTGCCCAAAATCTTAAATGAATGAACACACACTGTGTGTGTGTGGTTCAAAGTTCAAAAGAACACCAGATAGCTTCTATAGCTCCAGAGGTTTTGGTCTACGATTCTTATTGGTACTTGTCAGCACAGCCAAGAGTAAGAATGATGAGAAATGTAAGCCAAAACATCTGGATGGCCACCTCTGTAATGAGAATTAAATATAATGGGAGAGAGTTTCTTTTCCGTTATATATATTTTGACTCTCATAAATTTCCATTTACTTGCCACAGAATCCGGATAAAGACTGCAGAAAGGCAAGGTACTTTTAAACACTGGAAAGGGGTTATTTCTCTTTCATATCAGTAGATTGCCACAAATAACTGGCTGAAAATGTGGCAGGGGATTCACATGGGTGTGGATGTGTTCACACCCAACATTTGGTGTGTGCCAGTAAATTTTGTGGAAACATTTGCAGGGATGCCTGCCTTAACATCCACTGTATGATACTCCAAATCATAGATCATACTTGATGGGCTTCTCTAACTGGAAAGAAAAGAAAGTTGCGACATTTGTGAGCAATTTTTTTAAAAAGTGTTTTTAATTCATACTGGCAAAGCCACAGAAGAACTGCATTAATTTCTTTGGTTGCACACATCAACCAAAGAAATCTCACACCACAGAGGCACACTGAGATGGTACTCCAGGCATGCTATTTTCACCATTCTTTGTATTGCAGACAAAGGGGCAGAGAGATCATGATATAACCTATGCCATTTATTAGCACTGTTTGTCAAATAAAATTGGTAAGAAGAGAGTTCTTAGCCCCACCAAACCTGTCTGACTGGATTTGATTAAAGCAAGTCTGACCATCTGGGGGAAACAGTTGCCTTTCCTGTTCATGACGACATTTTGAAGAGGGGATGCTTGGTTCAGCTAAGGGCTTGGAAAGTCAAGTTTTATAGCAGGAAACACAACCTTTCCTGTGTTTATCTAAAAGCAAGGACTCATGCTAGCACATAGTATGAGCTTGGTCTGTACTAGAATATGGAGAAAGTGAAGCAAGTGTTTAAAAAGAAAAATAAATTCAGCAAACTGGACTAAAAAAATTCCTGGTCTTGGGATTTGAAATCCTTCAAGTTTGAAACTTAGACCTGGGAAACACTGGATTGTACCATTTATTTACACAGGTGATCAGAACCAGCTCAAGTAGAAAGTTATTTTTAAAAACTCTCTAACATACAGGAATGCTTGCCTCTAGCACTGAAAGGAAAACTGAGAAGATGAGTAATACAAATGTTTCTGGACTCACAGACCACTCATGCGAACTGGCTGTCAGAAGAAACTAGAAACCACTGCTCCCATTCTATTTGTCATTAAAGATCAGGCCAGCTTTTGAGACAAATATGAACCATGCATACCTTTTCAAAAGTCAGGGTGTAAACCCTGGAATGCCAATGTGACACACCCCAACTTTCACCAGCTGGCCATGTCCCCTCCCTTACTGTATATCCGCCCCCCCCGCCAAACCACTGGTGACTTGGTGGTCTCTTTTGTGCTGCCCCGCAGTTCTAAAAAGCTATGAGGCCTCTTAGTCATTGGCTAAGATATGCTAATTTTTCATGTTTTGGTCCTGTCCTTTTGCCTTCAGTTGTACCCTCAATGAAGAACTTCTCCAGGATGGAACATGGACTGCAGCTTCAAAAAGGTTTGATAGCCACTTAAAAAGTACAGGAATTGTGAAGGCCCTTGACGTTATCCATGCCTGTTACAAGATGTGCCAAGGAATGTTCAGATGTCAATTCACTGGGCAGATCTACTGATGTCAGCAGGCACATCCTCCTGCTTGTGGGGCTCCCCTGGACATCTGGGTAGCCACTGTGGGAACAGAATGCTGGACTAGAGGGGTCCTCCTTTGGACTGATCTACCAGGAATCCTTGATTGTTTGTCTGACCCATCAAATGAGCAACCCCAGCTCCAAGTATCATCAGTGATTTAAAGCCGCCAGTTAAAATTGAACTGCATTCAGTTCATACAGTGCCACTACTTGGTGGTTTAAGGATCTAAATTGTTACTACTTCCAGTGACCACTGAGGGATGCTTTATGACACAAAGGAGCAGTCTGTTCTGGCATATGCATTCTTGCTGACCACAAAGCCAGCAACAGTGTAGCTATCAAGCCAACAATTTCACTCACACACAAAAAATACCAACAATGCTATGCATATTAAAAGTGCTACAGTTCTAAGCATGTCAGGATGGGATTTTTAAGCAACTGTGGTTAGAACTGGGTTATAGGGTTAAACCAAATGCAAAAGCTAACAAAACAGGAAACCCACAGAAGATCCGAAGGAAAAAGAATTAATAACAAAAAAGATGCTTTGTTCTACAAAAATTGATTGGTACAACTGGCATTGTGAAGCAACTTTTTGGGGGAAATTTATAGAAAAAATTAATAAATTATAAAATTTAAAACATTGTATATACAGCATAACTCAAATAGCACTACAGTTGTTCATCAAAAATTTTTAAAAATATAATGAAAGGCACCAAGATCCAAACTATGCATAAACCTACCTTAAACTGAATAACAACATCTCAATAAACAAACAATAAACAAACATATATAGTATACCCTTATTTATTTATTTTGATAATGCTTGCTAAAAGAGACAGTGTAGTGCAGTGATAAAGAGCATGGGACTAGGACTCGGTCAATCTGGGTTCTAGTCCCCACTCAGCCATGGAGCCAACTGTCTGACTTGGGCCAGTCACAGACTCTCAGCCAACCTACCTCACAGGGTTGTTGCTGTTGTGGGGATAAGACAGAGCAGGAAGAGGAGTATTATATCAGTAATTCTGAGTCCTTTGTAAGAAAAAAGGCAAGATATAAATCTAATACATGCATGCATACAAATAAATGCCCATTGCATGTCTGGTTTCAAATGCCTAACATTTAATTATCAGGTATGCAATTCCTCAAAGAACCTCCTGAACAAGGTAACAATTGCTACAGATTACAGTAAAGACAGCATCTGCCGGCCACAGGATGCTGGCCAAGGTTGTCCTTTTTTGTTTAACTGGACTGAAAAGGCATTGGATATGTCAGTGGCTACTGAACTGCCTGCTCCCAAAAGGCATGCTGGATTGCCTTGCCCACAAACTTCTCAGTATCCAGCATCATCAGACATCTTGTCTACCTGCTGGCTTGATCTTATTTCCCAGCTACTACAGTTTCCTGTTCCAAGAACATAAGATCATGTAATCAAACTGTGTAACATATATCTTGGGTAATTAAATACCTAGCAGAATGTAAATTATTCAGCCTTGGATGCATCACACATTTTTCACACACATTTCTCAGCAAGAAACGCTGATTTTACCACAGCTATTTCCTTGCCCACGTGTCTGAATTGCACACATTATTAGCCACCAATGCATCTGTGATGCTTTCACAAATATACGTTAAGATGCATATATGTACTGAGTGGCTTTCAATAAATTACAAGACACATTTGGGAAAAGGATGACATGACATAAACAGAGTATTTGTTTTGAGACCCAGTGTGTTGTGGTGGTTAGAGTACTGAACTGGGGATCTGACTCTAGTCTCTACTTGGCCACACAGTTCAATGGGTAACTTTGGACCCATTCGGTCACTCACTCTGTAGGGTTCTAGTTGTCAGGATAAAACGGACCCATGCAAACCACTATGGGTTCTTCACAAGAAGAAAAAGGGCTGGATATACACACATAAATGCAATCTAATAATAATATAGCAGAATGTAATGACTAGTTTGAATGTTACAATTGTAAAAACTGTAGCAATTCTAAAAACCATAACTCTGGAGGGAACAAAACTACCCTAAGTAGTGTGTCCAAAGCTATGCCAGGTAAACTTGGGACAGCCTGTAAGATGTACTATAAGACACATCACATGGATGTGGTTATGAACACAAGCTGTGAACATATCACTGCTGTAAAGACTGAAGGCCTCTTCAGCTCAGTATCCTTGTTCCATAATGGCCAACAAGATGCCATTGTGGGAAATGGGGTATGACCACAAGAGAACCTTCCTACTCATTTCCCAAGCAACCGATTTTCAGGCAAGCTGCTCCAAAACAAGGAAAGGTCTACTAGTAGCCATCATGGTTATATGCCATCGTAACTACTACCTACTGGTGGCCGTACCTTCCATGCATTTGCCCCAGCACGTGTCATCATCGTCACCGTAACAGGTTAACTATTCATTTTGCAAAGAACTAACAAAGCCATTTTGAAAGTGGAAGTAATTTTGATACACCAGGGATTCCAGACACACTGCTCCTAAGCCCAATGAGCTGCTCATTTAATCCACTGATTTCCACAGAGCTTGTTTTCCAATAATCATGTCCAGGACCCAGGGGACTTTTCAAATATGCCATGAAGGAATACAGAGGAACAAAGGTGGCTTAAATAGACTGTGGAACTTACCCTTAGCATAGCAGTGAAACAAACCCATTTACAGACATAGCACTTAGCACTTTCTAGGCCAGAATCACCATGTTTAACTTGGAAAAATATTTTTCTTTGCCTTTTTAAAGGTGAAAAGGAATAAATAATGATGCACAATATAGCTTTTAAAAAGCCTCTTCAGATACACTTCCTTTTATAAGGAAAAGAAAAAAGGTAACAAGTTTTAGAAGCTATGGTTGACATGTGCCTTGCAGCTAAACAAGACAGGAGCTAGTCTAATGCATACCTAATAAAGCAAGTTTGTCCAGGTTCATTGGAATATATAGATGCACCTAGGAAAGCAGCAAGAGACCTGCAGCATTTTTATAGATGAATGCACGGGGTAGTACATAAACTCTAGTGGACTAGCATTCTCATCTCCCAATGAATGATGCTACCTTCAGTTATGCATGGCTATAGGGAATTCAAATGGAAAGAAGTTAGATATTGGCCTGACAGGTTGCTGAGGGTTCTTTTCCATGACCACATCATGGAAGGCTTTTTCAGCTATATCTTACCACTATCAATACTTTGTCCCCTTTTCAGACAACCATATACCTGTACCTTTAACACCTAAACAGGCAGAAGTTCAACAAGGAAAGCTTTCTCCATTGTTACATCTCCACTCGGGGTGGGGTTATGAGAGAAATATCCCGAATATCCTGGTGTTCGGCTGTTAAAGGCACAGGATCCATGGCAGGCGAGGGGAAAGAAAAGGTGGCCATCCTGAGGCAAGGGGCACTCGAAGGCGGGCTGGCGACTGCACGGAGCGCCTGCCCCGCCCAAATGGCGAGTCGCTTCAATCGCAGCGCGTGTTCTCCCGTTTTAGCGGTCCAACGTCCGGCACAGCAGGTGAGGCTCTTCTAGCAGCTTCTAGGTTCCACGTAGGCTCGTCTCTTTCCGCCCCTTCTCAGCCTCACCTCCGCAGGTGCATCGACCGGAGGCGAGGCTCAGCATCGAAGGCCGATCCAGCCAAGGAGGGTCGCCCGCTGGCCGGTCCTCTCGGCCAGCTCGGAGGGCTTCGCGGCTACTCTCCCTGCCCACCCACACTTGGATCGCTCAGGCCGGGCGGGGCGGGGGCTTACTCGAGGGCCCGGGAAGAACCGAGGCACCTCGGCGGGCGACGGCGCTGGAAAGCACACAAAGGCGCCCGAAGGAGGCATCCCCCCTCCTTCCCTCCCGTCCGGCCCCCGGTCGGATAGGAAGCCCGGGCTGCCAGCTTGGCTCACCGTATAGAGCAGGTTGAGGGCGCAGAGCCAGTTCTTGGAGCAGGAGAAGCCGCCACAAACCATGGTGCCCTGGCGATCGCACTGCAGCCGCGCCGCCCGCTCTCGCTGAGGTCGCACAGGAGGGATGGGGCGCGCCCCTCTTCTCCGCTAGCCCGAGAGCGTCGCCTTCCTCCCGGGGGAGCTTGAACGCGGAAGACGAGCGCGGCGGCAAACCCGCTTTCGCCGCGAGCTGGAGAAGCGGACTCGGCTGCACCGGCGCTCCAGCCTCGAGGGGGCCGGGCCAGGCGGAGAGGCGCGCGCTCATTGGCCGCCCTTTGGAGACAAAGGTAAAAATATGCAAATACGCCCAGTCCTGTGAGCCCGTGATGACCGAGATCCGGGAGGGGGGAGGGGCGCGGGTGATCCTCCGATCCTGCCGAAGAGAGAGAACTAATTGCAGAGACCTGTGTAGGCCAGCCTGAAACATTCACACGAGCAGTAACAGACGCGCGCACATTCCAGGTTGCTGAAATCTGGAGGGCGTGGGAAGAAGCAGACGCTCTCAAAGTTTACAATATAATTGGAGTGTCTGTTTTACGTGATCGCAGGGACGAACGGATTGTCCATAACAAACAGCCTTCCCACGCTGGCTCTCTCCAGATGGTTTACACAGTTCCCATCATCCCGGGCCAGGGTCCTTGCCATCTGGGGATGACGGCAACTTAATCCAAAACAGTTGGAGGCATCAGGTTGATTGTGTGGTTAGTGCGCCAGCAGTTTGTGCATCCCGTAGATTCTCGCCGTCGTCAAGATTTTCGTGGTCAACTGATGTGATGCGCTTAGGGCATAGACCTATGCAGGTTTAGACAAGCTGGCTGAGGATTTCTGGGAGCTGCTGGCTTTTTTTTTTTTTTTTGGTCTAAACATGCTCTCAAAGTGTGTTTCCCCAGTGATTTGCTGCTTCTCCCCTCCCCCACCTTATTGTATTTTTAGTCTTGCATCGAGGCCACACACAAATCTGTGGTGTTCTCTACTATGGAGAAAAGCAGGAAAGGTTGCACACCAGCTGACACCACACTCTTCGGTATGTTTGCACTGATCAAAGCTCCCTGTGTTTACTGGACTGTCTCTTCATGCTCCCAAGTATTGTTTTTAAGATGTCATCCTATGTTGTAGTCACCTAGGATTATTTGTTATAATTGCTTTTTAAATAAACACTGTTTATAGTGCTATACATAAAATACCCTGAAATAAGAGATTTCCCCCTTTGTCACGACAAGGCAGTGATCCATGACAGGGTAGAGCAACCTTATTTAAATTGTTTTTGTCAAGAGAGAAAAGGAAACTTGAGGTTGTGTCTTTCTTTCTAACATTTCCCTTATTTAAATATACAGCTAGTGCATAAAAGAAGGCCAACAGGAGCTGCCACCAGATTTTCAAGAAATTGCATCCTTGAGGCTTTGTTCAACCATAGCCCCTGCCTGCCTTTAAGGTGAATCTTGTGAAGGGAGATCAGGTATAAAAAGAGGATGTGGGTTTGCAGGTATGAATATCTGTCTGCAGGGAAAGCTACACTCATGAACTTTTCCTTGCAGACAGCAATGCTGTGTAGATAACTTGCAGGCAGGGCTGAAGAGCCATGGGTGAGATGCGTTGTTGAATGATTCCGGTGCTTTTTTCAATTGCCATCACCTCCAGCAGCCCATTTGGTAATAACCTCAGAGAGGACCTTTTCACTAGCCGTTCCCCAACTGTGCAACTCAGTGTTAGGGGGAGCCAGCTTTGCTCTGGTGCAGTTTTTAATTTTAATTTATTTCTCTCTTTTTAACTGTACTATCTTTTTATAAAATTTTAATGGAGTGTTTCAATTCATTTTAATTGTGTAAGCCATTTTGTGGCCCCTAGACAAGGAATACTTCAGATTTCCAGATTTGGGGTGAGAAGCAGAGCTCTGTGGTTGGAACTGGAAATCTGCCTTTGGATTCTCCACCTACCCACCTGTCACCACAGAAGCTGATATGGAAAGGCCAGCTACTTCTCAAAGACGGTACAATCCGCCTTGGAGAGTATAGAAAGGGGAAGCAGAGGAGACTGGGACCAGCGGGATATGAAGTATCCCTGCAGCGTTCCAGCCCTCTTGCCTCCCCCTCTGAAGTGTCATAGCTGGATGGCTGAAAATGGACATCTAGCTGCATTGCAGGGCGGGACTGTGGAGGCAAAAATTTCCTCTGCACCAGTGTCTGTGCAACCAGGACATTCGAAGAAGACTGAGACTTGAAAGTGCAGCAATGAAGGAACTAGAAAAGAGCATCAAGTGTATGGATGTATAACAGGAGACCAAGGCCATGATCATCCATGCTGTTATATTCCCGAAAACTATGTATGGATGTGAAAGCTGGACAGTGAGGAGACCTGACAGAAAGGAAATCAATGTGTTTGAAACATGATGCTGGAGGAAAGTTTTGCGAATACCCTGGACTGACAGAAAAACAAACAAGTGATCAAACCCTATATCAAATCAAGCCAGAATTTTCCCTGTAAGCAAAAATGAAGAAGCTGAGGCTGCCCTACTTTGGACACATTGTGAGAAGGCCGGACTCAGTGGTAAAAGACAATAATTCTAGTGAAAGTTGAAGACAGAAGAAGAGGAAGCCCCGACAAGAGATGGATTGCTTCCATAAAGGTAGCCACAGCCTTGCGTTTACGAGAGCTGAGCAGGGTTGTCAAGGGCAGGACACTTTGGATTCGTCGACTTACCTCTCTCCACATCAGATGAAGTGAACTCTTTAGAAGCTCTTCAGAATCTCATAATAAATGTGTTAGCATTTAAGTGCCATGAGATTTTTTTCTTGGGTTTGCTATAGAATAACAGAGCTGCTCTTCTAAAAATGAATGAGATTTCTTCAGCTGGAAATATAATAAACCCAGGGTAAGGTATGCTGTTCACTGACCAATAAAATGGCCATGGAAATATTCAGTGCTATTAGGACTTCACTCTCTCCCGCCAACTCCCCAAGCTCTTGTACCACATACTTAATAACTTCTATGAACTCTGTACTCCTTTCTACAGTCAAGATAACATGGGCATTCTAGCATATCTGCTTGCCCAAAGTGCTTGTTTCACTGAAGAGTCCAGCTTGCTAGGGAAGAAAGATAAAGGCACATATAAATATTTGCTACAGTAAGTTGCACAGTTTAAAGAGCAACCTGGCACAGGTGATGCGCCATGCGCAAGTCATGATTAATTTACAAAAGGCAGACAGGCTGGCCAAGTAGAAAGGACAGAACACCTATGAAATGATTTGAGAATATGAAAATTCGCATACTGATATTGAAAAATGATACATTTGCGATAGTCTTCTAACAGAGCTTTGGTTAGGGTTCAGTTTAGGGTTACGGTTAGTATAGAAATGAAATATATCAATCAATAAATTATTATTGATTACTATTACTTCTATTTTGTATGGTAGGAATTTCAGTTGGTGCATTTCTCCTTATCTGAAGATGTACCAGCTTTGGCTAGGACTTAGGTGGCTGGAAGTTTTCTCCCATGTACAAGTGGTAGCACTGAATAAATGGTGAAGGGGAAAGGGTAAGACTGACTCTTATAGCCAGTCCTATGCAAAGTTCAGTATAAGGCCAAGCCTGGTGTGCTTAACCTTGCACAGGATTATCCCTGAACATGGAAGTAAATTGCATTAGAAACCAATATGTCTACATGAAGCATGGTTAGGGCTGGGCTGCTGCTGAAGAAATACACCTGCTGTATATACGCTGCTGACATCAGACTTCTCCAGCCTGGCTGGGAGATCCTTGGAGTTATAGGATATCAAGTTAGGGAAGTCTCCCTTATTCTTAAATTTCATTTCTGCCTGTAAATTTAAAAAAAACAAAACCCAAATGGATTGAAAATGAGTGCTGTCTTACCCTGGCTGAAATGGAGTCTACGATTGCTTTGTGAGCCAGGAATGAGACAGCGAGGCTTGCTGAACAGCCGTTGTCTTTCTCAACAAAGAAACATGCTGTCTGCATCCACTCATTCCTCATTTACTGCCTGTCTGCGTTTACGTAAGTTTTATCAGATTTCCGCAGTTGAACAATGTGCTTGTAATGCATTCTTTCTCTATACGATAGTAATGACATTCCATACTGAAGATGGGTAATTAGAAAAGTGTGTATTTTAGGAAAGATGTTGTGTATTTTGAGATGGGAATCACATATTTAGAAGACATGTGCATTTTGGGGAAGTTGTAGTTTTTGAGAGTTGAACATTTTTTCAGGTACACATTTTGCAACTAGGAAATCAGGTTCGGGAATTTGCAAACATATTTAGTGAAAAATTGCTCCTGTCACATTTGGGATTATGAATAGAGCATTTCTGAGTGATTTGTGCACAGAAATAAAGTACTTCTATGTCCTTAATTTTCAGTTTCTGAAATGAGTGCCATTGTTTATCTTATATCTGCAAAGGAGTTCAAATATAAGTGAAGTAGGCTAATTTGAATTTTAAGTCGATTTGCAAAAAAAGAATCCATAGTCTAAAGGCAGTAACAATTTCAGAACTTTTCTTGAAGCCAGCTCCTTTATAGGAACATCCATCTCAGGGTTGCCAGTGCAAGAGCAGAGATCAGCCAGCTAGAATCATGTTCTCTTTGCTCTAAATATTTCAGCATGGCCGGTCATTGCCCTGATCTTTTTTCATCTTGCAATATGAAGAGGTGCACAGGTGTGAGAGGGTGATGAGTGGGCAAAGCAATGAGTGAGCAGAGCTGAATGCACTACCCAGCCTGCCCTTTACCCCTAAACTTGCCTGCTTTCCTCAGATGCAGTGGAAGATCTGACCCATTGCCAGTTTTCAGGAAAGATCAAACTGCTTTTTTCTTCTGAATAAGGAATGGGTGCATGTGTGGACTTATCCACACTTGGGAAACATTGTACAGTTCTGGCCACTGGACCTTGAAAAGGTAATTGGAAAAAGTACAGAGAAGGGAGTGATCTGTGGCTCTTAGAAAGCACCTGAGAATTTTATGGATTCCCTTACAGGGGGTGTGGAAAGAACTGCTCTTGGAAAGCAACCTCCAAGTGGGGAAGGGGTGTTTGAGGGGTCTGGGAAAGGAAAAGACTGGATAGGCCAGGAGTGGGTATTCTGAAGCTGCTCAAACTTCTTTCTCTCCTCTCCAGAAAGCTCCAGTGGATGGGCAAAATTCTGATCTAGCAAACATGCAGAGCAGAAGGACTG